CAACCACCACCACGACCAAACCAAACCTAATAGCTTAAAGGAAACTATGAAAATTCACCACACGCATTATTGGAAAATGTGGATATACCCCACATAACGCCCTCGACTCGAAGAGCTGGCATAAAATATGTATGCATTTGAATTCAAGAGGCTTGAGGAGAAATTAACCAAAGCAACAACAACAAAAACGAGAAGAAAATCGTGATGGCACACAAAACGAAAAGAAAACCTCACGAAAAACAAGTTCACACACCACTGCCGAATGGCGGGCGATTCAAGAAATATGGCATTGTTGGCAATGTGGCTGCATATCATTGCATAGCTTAAGGCGCTATGCAATACCATAGAACGTGTGCATGAGCGCATGCGTATGGGGCTTTAAATAGGTTTTATATTTTATGCTAACATAACTTTATTGTAGAGCGTGTGTTCTTTGGAAAACGCTTTTAAGCTCACATAAAACCACAAAGGGAAATTATGTCGTTTTTGTTGTCCTGTTGCAGGCAAGGCACAATGGGCGGTCCATAAGCCTTTTACCAAAAAAAATGACCACAAGTCGCCCTCAAGTGGACGACACTTATATCAAATTGATAACATTTCATTTTAGCTGCTATGTCACACACACACATTTCGTACAAAGAGAAATGTGTAAAAAAGTAGTACATTGCCGACACCTAACTTTTTTTTTTGGGGAAAGGCCAAATCTAGTTTATAGCATCTTGCCATCCATATCCCACTGCCAGCCAACACTTGCCGCTTAGATGTTCTTTAAATCTATGAATTCAGATTGTTGTTGTTCTCCTTTTGGGTGTTTACATGGCCAAAAAATACAAAGAGAAAAAACTGTCAACGCCCTCGCAAGCCTCAGGCGTTTGAGTTTTTTGTTTCTCAGTTCGCCTTCACCTAACCAACCTTAAAAAAAACCCCAACCATCACTTAAATATCTTAGTGGACAGACCTTAGTAACATTCCATAATATTCTATGCTGCTGCTGCTGATGATGATGACTCTACAATGGCGATGATTACATGTTACCACCGCCAATGTTGACGACAAGCATAGCAGGTTGGACAACCAGCTGCATTCATTGTTTGGCTAGTCCGCTCTGCTCGATTTACTTCAATTTTTCATTTTCAATTTTCTGTTAGCTCTGCCAATTGTTTGGTGTTACAGTTTGTAAGCAAATCGTAAATCTAATAATTTGTTGTTGTTTTTTTTCCTTAGCATATCATAAAAATATTTCACCACAAACACTCCTTAATTTTTGCCATAATTTTTACATTGACTGATGCATATATACAAACATTTGTGTGCCGAACATTGGCGGAATGATTTTTGTTGTCAATGGCATGATGGAAATTTTAAAATTATTAAAAACAATAAATCAATTTCTTATTTTTTTCTTGAAAATCAACCGAAATGATTTTGTTATTAAAATTGCTGAGTATTACTCCCAATCTATTGACCTTATTTTTTATTCTGTTGAGAAATATATGTGTAATACCTAAAAAGACTAAAGGCCCCCTATTTTTGTATTGAGACACAATGCCATTGTTTGGCAATACCTAAAAAGACTAAAGGCCTCATCAGTTCTCTCGGCAAACAATGCCATACATTCCCACTAATAAATAGTTGTTTTTTTATAAAAACAACAAACTGGGATTCAGCCTGACTATTTTGCAAAAACAAAAGAAAAATATTTTCCCTAGCCACATAGTATTGACGTTTTCGATAGATAACAATTTATCTGACCTCAGAAGATTAATTTTTCCTACAAATAAAAAGTACTTTCTATAATAAAATCCTAATGACCCACATTTTTCTAAAGAAAATTCTTTTAAACTGAGGCTTTATTATGGCCACAGTGGAGTAATTTTTCCTACAAAGGATGACATTTTTTATAGAAAGTAAAGTACTCCTTGGAAAAATTAAATTATTCTAGTCCACCTTCTCAGAGGAGAATTTTTTCCTACAAATGAGGAACACTTTTTATAATAAAACCCCTCTGAAGCTTTCTTCTGACCTAATAGGAGTACTTTTTCCTACAAAGGAGGAATACATATACAGAAATATATATACAGAAATATATACAAATGAGGAGCACTATCGATTCCAAATTGTATAAAATTTAGTACCATTTAGTACACATAAGAACAAATTTCCATTACTTCCTACATTATGCAATCCAATGGAAATCGTATTACAAAATTTCAGGATTCCCGAGCACTTTAAATCCAAATTGTACCAAATTGAATACACATTTCCAAAACTTCCTACTTCCCAATCCTATACCCCAATAATGATCCCAACTCCAAATTTAAGAATTCCAGCTCTATTGGTTTACCAAAAATACAAATTGTACAAAATTTAGTACACATAAGTACGAATTTCCCGAACTACCAACACATCTCAATTCTACAATGCAATGGTAATCTTATTTCCAAATTTCAGTTTTCAAGCTCTATCGGTTCACCCATATCCAAATTTTACTAAATATCGTACCATTTAGTACTTTTCGTACTCATAAGTACAAATATCAAAAACTACCTACATATTCCAAACCTATACTCCGACGATAATGTTAATTTCGGATACTTATACTTCGAATGTCTATTCTATACTCCATCAGTGGCCCTCATTTCAAATTTGGGAGTTCTAACTCTACCGCCAAATACAAATGGTACCACATTTAGTACTTTTCGTGCCATTCTAGTTCGAATTTCCAAAAACCCAGCCTTATCTGACACTTTTGGACCAAATTTCCAGGGGATAAACTTTTTTCTGTTAAAAAAATATCACTGTTTCGCCGGGTATTACCTAAATAGTCCTCTGGTGCACCAGATAATTATTTTCTTATATATGTAGAAAAAAATAAGACAGGACCATCACAGAATTCAATTTTTTAATATTTATTTTTTCCCCCGACTTCCAAAGAATTTGTATACCCTTCTAGATGATATCTTTAGGGTTGGACCTGTATATGGAGGCCATGTAAACCATATTGAAACTTGTATGTTTACCCTTTAATAACCCGAATTTAGGAATTTACTCCGCAGAAAATTCCAGAATGCCGAATCAAACTAATTCAGTTGAAAATATACGCCTGGAACCATCATAAATGCTAAATTTTGAGGGATCTGAGAATGGAGACTATGTCAAAACTTGGACCTACATTGAAAATGTCCCACAAATAAGTTGTTTTACCCTCCAAGAACCTGAATTTCAAATTACAGCCATTAGTATTGAAAAATACTGCTAAAACCTTAGGACCATGAAAATGCCTAAAATGGGCGGCATCTGTAAATGAAGACTACTCCAAAAGGGGACCTATGACGAATATTTTCCACCAACAACCAACCAATTCCAAATTAGAACATCATCGCATTGGAAAATTGAACTGGCAACCTCAAAATAACTTCAATGGGGTGCTAATTAGTATTTTACCAAAAACATGGACCGATATCGAAAAATGTCTGCGAACAAATTTTTTCGCCCACTAAACAACATATAATTCCAAATTACAGCTTCTTAGAAATACCGTCAAAACCTCCAAAATAAGGTAAAGGCCTCCATAGAAAGGGACCAACTAATATTTTTGATACGTTCTTCAACCAAATTGTTACGGTATTTAAAGTTTTCATGGGGTAGAAAGACTTCCTACCAGAAATGATCAATATTGGTCCACTTTCGAAGTACCTCAATATAGTGACTGTAATTTGGTATTTTTGGGTTCTGATTTGGTAGCATATCTTCCTAAGACAAATTATCAATCTGTTCCCAACATTCAGGGTAGCTCCCATATAACGGCACCTCCAAAATATCGATATTTTGGAGAGTTTTATGAATTTGGATTCTCATTGGGTGGAAAATCCCCTTACCAAAAATTATCAACTTTGGCCCTATATAATGGTATCCCCAGGTATCACGTTTCATAGCGGAATTTGTTATAGTTTGGTATTTCAGAGGTTGAAGTATAATCTTCCTACCAAAAATTTACCATGGCATAGCTCCCATTTGAAAGTCCCAATCGATATTAGTTATTTTTAAAGTTCATCTTATGGAAAGGGGTATTACAAATTCGGATCGTAATACCCGAAATTATTAATGCCATTTGCACTTCTTTGCCTTCATGAGAGATTTTTTTTTTAAATCAAGTGAACCTTCAGAAGATCACAATTTTCGTTTCTTTTTATCATCCGAAGAATACTTTTTTGTATTGAATAAAATCATGTGGCCAAACCTATAGGGATTACTAAATTGTTACTAGGGGACAAATCGTCTGACCCAACGAAGAATTACCAAAAATGTATTTTTTATTGAAAATATCATCCAGCTGATTAGTTTTTTTTTTATCAGGTAAACATTTTTCCCCAAAAAAAAATGGAGTATTACGTTCTTTTCTGCATGCCCGCAGAAAATGACCATTTTCAATAAAAAAAAATCGGCTGGCCAGCAGAGAATCACTTTTTGCGATAAGTCTTGTCCCACTGAAAAAACACTTCTTTGCAATATCATTCACGCCAAAATACAACCTTTTAACTCAACCTACAACATCCATGAGCCAACATTTAGGATTTGTTCGCACAAAGTGTTGATTTACCGGACAATTACTGCCAATGAAAAATTGCTATTAATTTTTTTCTTCTTATATTTATACTCGTCATGATGTGAATGTCTTCCACATAAACGGAGGACTGTGGTCATTTCAAGCTGCTGCACCACACAGCTTTACAAACCAAAAACTTTCTAGCATAGCATGGCCTTGGGCTGGAAAGCATAAATCTTATGGTTAACCTCATATTTACCCAAGTAAATTATTAGAATTGCAGTGTTGATATTTTGTCTAATGTCCAGTTGTTCCGTTCATCTATCGATCGGACGTTTGGTCGTTTGTTACATTATTAGACTGTCATTAATGGCAAATTATTGCTTGAGATCGTAATTTGTTATTTTAAAATTCCTAATTTTTTTTCTCTCTATTTTGTTTTATTTGCAGGTGGTCCTCTCGGCCTGTTCATCGTATTTCCAGAGCCTATTTCTGGACCACCCCGAAAAACATCCAATTGTGATATTAAAGGACGTCCGTTTTGCCGAACTACAAACCCTAGTTGAATTCATGTATAAAGGCGAAGTAAACGTGCAATATTGTCAGTTATCGGCACTGCTGAAAACGGCGGAGTCTTTAAAGGTAGGAGGGTGACAGAAAAAAAGACATATTTTTTTCGGCAAAATTATTTATTTGTTGTTTTCTTAATCCCGTTTTTCGATTAGGTCAAGGGTTTAGCAGAAATGACAAATCAGAATACAACCCTACGCGAGCCAGAACGTGAACCTGAACGTCTACGACCCCATTCACAGCCCTGTAAAAGTAGTAGCTCATGTGACAGTCCTGTCGACGCCACTCTATCGGGTGCCTCCACATCAACGTCCAATATAGTGGCATCAGCGACAGCCCCATCAATAGCAGCAACATCAGCCGGCGCAGCAGCAGCATCTACACCAACAACATCTGCCACAACAAATGCCTCCAGCACAACTTCGGCTGTCGTTGCCACATCATTAAGTTCGAAACGCAGCACCAGCCATGAACAGTCATCAACGGCAACAACAGAACGTTGCAGCCCCTCACCTCCAAAGCGAATTCATGTCAAATCGGCAGCCTCAATACAAGACCCTCAGCACAGGGGTTCGCCACAACCTCTAGATCTCTATCAAAGACGTTTGGATCAGCAACTGGAAGACAGCAAGGAGAATTCCCTTGTAAATAATAATAATGCCACCGTGACATCGGGCAGCGGTACCGCAACAACAACATTGTCGACATCAACAACAACAACTACGTCAAATGAAAAGACACGAAGTACAACACCTCAGAGTTCGATTAGTGGGACCATGTCGACGAAACAGCACCAATCCACACACGAAGGCGTGGATGAAACGGTAATGAAACAGGAACGACACGACAGTGATCGTGATACGGGTCGTGAATCACCCGATCAGCTGGGCGATGTACATAGAGGCTTGACCAGACGTGGTGAACTTGAGGATTCGGGGGTGGAGAAAATCGAAGATATTGAAGATGTCGATTATGGCGATGAAGAAATGGACTTGGACGATGATGGTGATAATAGTTCCGATGACATTGGCGGGCTAAATATGAAAATCGGTAGTAGTAGCTTAGCTGCCGCCTTAGTTAGTCCCAATTTACGTGTAGGCCTGGAAAGTGGCCTATGTTCGTTGAGTGGTAGTCGTGAACGCGATCGTGATCGCGATCATGGTGATGGTGGCGGCGGTGGTGGTGGTATGGAATCGTCACGTTCAACACCCCTAACCGGTAGTGCTGCACTCGCATTAGATTCGCATTCGTCGCAACGTCCAGCATCGCGCAGTTCTCGTGATGGTTCGGGCTTGGATCGTCCCAGTAGTAGGGGTGGTCTGAGCGGTTTACCCTCTACCTCTGGCACATCTCTGGCGGGTGGTCTAAGTCCCAGTTCTTCGACGGCAGCTGCATTGGGTTTGGTCAGTGATACACTTGCCGGACCGTCGGGTTTAGGTCCTGTGCAGTCGGTGCCCTTGGTAAGTAGGCGGGTTGTGTATATAACACAATTTATTCTTGGTATAAATTTAGATAATATTCGAAGCTAGGTAAAAGGTATAAATGGGTATAAAATGGGAACCCAAAATTCGTTCAAATTACAGTCCTTTCTTTTGGGATATAAAACCTTCAAAACACCGACATAGGACGCGACCTTCTTATGGGGGATATACCAAAACGAGGACCTCAACATTACATATCCAAGGAGTTATAGGACCCGCAATTTCCACCCATAGACAGACATAACTCAATCGATATACAGGGTTTTTTCAATAAGAGGTATTGTTTTGGTATCCAAAGAAACGAACCTTTTTTTGATAAATGGCCGAGATTTTGTTTCATAATATTGTCATATGGCTACCGCGAGCACGGACCACATTCCTGCCATGAAATTTTGAATAACCAAATAGGCTTTTGCTGTAGACATTTATTGCAACTGACTCCCAAACAAAGACCTATTACGGTCATAACTTCAATAGATATCACGGCCCAAGCGAGCAATAGCTTCGTTGCTTCAAATCTATCCCTATCAATACCAAGCATGTTCGAAATCATTAATCATCTCACGATATGGTCCAATGTTCTCTCATTAGTCCATTATGCTTTTTCGATAGAATTCCACAATATTTTCAGACTCTTCAAGGTGCCAGTTAGGAAAGTTCCGATGTAATTGAAGCACGGAGGACACTACATCCATCCGATTGGTACGAAAGAAGTACAGTCTTTACACTGAAATGAAGTGTTGCATATCTTCATGTAAATGGCGCCCAAATGACACTAGTTCGGTTCGACAGCCACGAATTGGTCCAATGGCCTTGGCAGACCATAAACCTCACAAAACAGTCAATAAAAACTCTTCTGTTTTCCGGGCTTCAGATGAGCAAACTTTTGCTTCTTGACATCACCACCGAGATGGAAATGGACCTCTTATTAGTCAATGATGCTTTTTCGATAGAATTCCAAAAAAAATGTGGGCTCTTCAAGGCCCCATTAGGCAAGTTCCGACGATATTGACGCACGAAGGACACTACATCCATCCGATTGGTAAGAAAGAAGTACCGTATTTACACTGAAATAAAGTGTTGCATATCTTCATGTAAATGGCGCCCAAATGACACTAAGTCGGTTCGACAGACACGATTTTTTTTGTACCGCGTACTGAATTGAGTCAAGATAACGGGTGTCATATTTGTTTTAAATCTTTGTATTTAAATCTTTGGGGAAAAAGAAATTATTGATCGGAGAAATGATCGAAGTTGACCGGCATGTTAGCAGTCCTAACATCGTCCAGGAGCTAAAAATCGGCCATAAAACAGCTTTAAACCACTTACACAAAGCTGGATTCAAAAAGAAGCTCGATATTTAGATGCTACAACAATTAACAGAAAAAATAGCCTTGGCCAAACGGAATGAGGTAGACCCATTTCTTAAACGCATGGTGACTGGAGATGAGAAATGGATCACATACGATAACCCTGTGCGAAAACGATCGTGGTCAAAGAGCGGTGAAGCACCTCAAACGGTGGTCAAAGCAGAAGTAACGACCAGGAATGCATTTGGTGGGACTGGAAAGGGGATTATTTATTATGAGTCAAACGCCCTATGGTCAAACGGTAAATTCTGATATCTACTGTCAACAACTGGACCGTTTGAAGGTAGCAATTGACCAGAAATTTTAATGCATCTGTCATACAGTCCGTATATAGCTCCAAGCGATTATGAGAGAGGCATTATAAATTTACCTTTAAAATGGCAATAAAACATAATACAAAACGGTGCATATTTAGCCCAAATCGGACATTCCGAAGTATGTCGAATGAAGACCTATAGGTCATATAAAAATAATGGAATTATTTTTCCCCAAACTAACATTATTCACCGTAGAAAAAATCGAAATACCAAATCACGGCATTATCATTCTTTTTTTGCATTGCAAATTTTTTAATGATAAAAATTGGTATATAGGGAGGATATAAAAATCGACCGGTTTTATGTCAATGAGCGCGCGACTTCTATGAGAGAGGCATTATGAATTTACCTTTAAAATGGCAACAAATCATACAACAAACGGTGCATATTTGGCTCAAATCGGACATTCCGAAGCATGTCAAATAAAATCCCATAGTTCATATAAAAATAATGGATTATTCACCGTCGGAGAAATACCTGTCCAATTAACATGGAATTTTAGAAAGTATACAGAATTGAGTATATAATGACGTGTGCCAAATTTGCTTTAAATTGGTTAAGTTCCAGGTATAGTCCCCATATATGTTATTTTATACGTTTTCATGCACATTTGGTATGAGTTTCCTACTTACGACTTTCATCTTTTCCTTAATGACGTAGTTTCTATTAGTGACCAAAATATCGGATAATTTTAAATAATAATTCCACTTTAAACACTATCTAATCAATCACATTATTTAAATTAATTTCTTAAAAAAATTAATTTCTTCCACCCATTATAGTCTCTTAAAAAGGAAATCGATTGCAGTGAAGATGACAACAGCAACAGTCGCCATCTACAGCCACGTTCCGCCTCAGCCAGTGGCATTCTAGGCGGTGAAATCGATTATCGAACCTCTCACGAATCGGTAAGTGTCCGTTTTTTGTTAACCCTTCAATAAGTTTTAGTTTTTTTTTTATTCTTTTCCAACGTATTCTACACTTTTGTTGTAACTTTTTTCTCTCTTTCTAAATATATATATACAAATCATAAAACTTATATACACATATATATTACTTTATGTATTTTTGCTATCAGTTGTCTCTTTTTAATATATATATATATATATTATAAAACTACTATATATCTATTTCATATACTACATTTATATATATTTATTTCCTTTCAATATATACAAAAAATCATTCGAAAACAACAACAACATTAAAAAAATACAAAGCAATTTATTTAAAAAAAATAAACTAAATATTTTTTTGCTCTTCGTCGTGTTCTTTGTCTATGAATTTGTTTTTTTTTAGTTTTACCTTAAATACTTTTTTTATTTTAGTTATTTTCACAACAACAACAGCAATCAGAAAAACCTAAACACTTTAAAATTGAATTGAATAGTTTTTTGTTCCATTGCTGTGAAAATTCAAAATAAAAAAAAAATTGAAAAAATCCCCACATTTGTTTCCTCTAAACCTCTGTACGTAAATACCAAATCCCAGTTTATAAGCCCACCTAAATAGTTATTGTATATTTTCCACCATCTGGAAGCCCTTCACCCCCCACTCCACCATTTCACCTGAAAATGAAATTGTTGAAATGGAAAAACTACCATTTTGAAATTGCATGTTAAATTGAAATTTAGTTTGTTTTTAGTTTTTCCAAAAACAAAACAAAGCAAAACCCCCAAAATATCCAGTACAAATTTTGCAGCTAGAAACCCAACAAGCCCCCATTTACACCCAAGCAAAAAAAAAACAAACCCAACTACTGCCCACCTATGTATGTTTTGCTACTAAGCCTATTAAAATATTCAATCTCCCCTTTATATAGAGATTTTATGCTAGTGATTCTCTTTTTTATTTTATTCTTGGTCCTATCTATATTTTGCCAACCAAGCCTATATTGATTTGTTTTATTTTCACTATTTCTACTATTTCGATTTTGAGTTTCCAACGTTTTTGCTCAACAAACACCAAAAAATGTCTATCCATTTTTTATATTTAATTTGTTGTTTTTGTTTCGTTGAACACATATTGTGTTATTCTCATAGAAATCACAATCCCCATTTGGGGAGGGTGACGCTCCCATAGAGCTCAACTATTATCATCATCATCACCCTGGCAAAGTAGAAAGAACCCACCTCCCCCCTATGATTTTGTTTTGCATTTTAGGTTATGCTGGTAACTTCCTCTCTTTCGACTACAAAACTATTTGTTTAAAGTTGTTACATTCTTCTTTTTTGTTTTTGTTTTTCGGTTTAGTTTTTATTATTTATTTGTCACATCGTTCATACATTTATAGATAGTCAGATATATACATTCGTATGTGTCATACACATACATATATGTATTTATACAAATACATTGAAAGAAGAAAAAAATATAGTAAATGTTGCATGTTTCCGTGTCCTCAATTTGTTGTATTTGTTTCTGTGTATACAAATTTTATTTGTTTTTCTAGATTTACTCTGTCTCTACTCTACATGACTCTTTCGCCCTCCCTCTTTCACTCTTTCTTTATCGTCTGTCGTTTTTTGTTGGTATTTTTATTTTAGATTTCCTGCTTTGATATTTTGTGATTTTTATCCACTTTGTATTTGCACTTCCGTTTTTTGGTTATTATTGTTAGTGTTTTTGTTTTTCTGTTTTTTATTTATTTCGTACAAACAGAGGGTGGTCTTTGTAATGTGAAATTTAGTATTAGAGGTCCTTATCACATTGATAGCGAAAAAGCTTTGATAGAGCTTTAGAGGATATTTATATCTCTAGAATTAAAATATCATCTTTCCATTTTGCTACCTACCGAAACTGTTTTAAATATAAAGATCTTTCTGAAAGCTTATTTGTATAACAAAGCTTTTAACATGTTTCTTTCCCTTCTTATAGAAGTTAGAAAGGCTTATTCTCTAGCAGAATTAAAATATCATCTTTCCATTTGGTTACCTACCGAAAATTTTTTAAATATATAGTTTTCTCTCTAAAGATCTTTCTGAAAGCTTAATTGTATAACAAAGGTTTTAACGTGTTCCTTTCCCTTCTTACAGAAGTTAGAAAGGCTTCCTTAGAAAATGTTTTGATGTTTGTAATTGAAATGTGTCGTGGATAAAAAAAGCTTTAGAAAAGCTTATATCATCTAAAGGTATTGATGATCATCAGGCAGAAAATTTTTGTTCTACACGGAAAAGCTACTTTTTATAAAAAAGCTCTTAGGGAGAAAGCTTAAACATCTTAAAAGGCTTGAAAAGTTTATTTTATATCGAATATATACCTACAGAATATTTTAGCAGTATTTGAAAAAATTTACATAGACAAAGGAAAAGCTTTAGTAGAGCTTTAAAAATTGTTATGTCCTACCCACTGAAAAATATAAATGAAAATCATTAATAAAGCTTTTTTGTAAAAAAAGCTTTTGAGGAAGAAAGCTTAAACATCTTAAAAAGTTGAAAACGTTTGTTGTATATCGAATATATCCCCGCAAAATGTTAAAAATTGTAAAAAGCAAAGGAAAAGCTTTAGTAGAGCTTTAAAAATGTGTATGTCTTTAGAAGTGGTTTTCGATAGTCTTCTATCATAAATATACAGAACGTCATTAAATATAATTGAAATATGACGTGGATAAAATAAAAGCTTTAGAAGAGCTTTTAAAATATTTCAGTTTTTATTATGGTTTTGAATGTCTTCTAGAAGTATTAAAGATCATCATACTATTTCCTAACCACAGAAAATGGTTCAAGTTTAGTTTCTGCACGGAAAAGCTTTACGAAGGCTTCTTTTTGTAAAAAAAAAGCTTTGAAGGGGGATATTTTGTAAAAAGTTTGAAAAATAGTTTTATATCGAATGTATCAACACCAATTTTTTGACATAGACAAAGTGAAAGCTTTATTAAAGCTTTAAAACTGTGTATGCTTTAGAAGTTGACTTTCGATAGTCTTATATTTAAATATACAGAAGGTCAAGAAATATAATTGAAATGTGACGTAGATAAAATGAAAACTTTAGAACAGCTTTTAAAAATGTTTCTGTTTTTATTATAGGTTTGAATATCTTCTACAGGTAATGAAAATCATCATACTATTTCATACCCACAGGAAATATTTCAAATTTATTTTCTGCGCCAAAAACTTTAGGCAAGCTTCTTTTTGTAAAAAAAGGCCGAAAGCTTAAACATTTCAGAAAGCTTGAGAAGTTTGTTTTATATCGAATATATCTCTTGAAAACGTTTATCAGTATTGACGACATAGGCAAAGTAAAAGCTTTAGTAGAGCTTTCAAAACTGTGTATGTATTTTAAAGTGAGTTTTAATAGTATCCTATTCAAGGGATTATGTTAGCCCTAAAATGTTTCTATATTAAGGTGATCTTTTCAAGTTCTATAGAGCAGCGTCCAAATCTTTAAAGGTATTTTGAATAGAAGAGCTTTAAATATATGGTATATACAGGAGAGCTTAAAAGCTCTCATAATATGGAAAATATGTAAAGGTATTTTTAATATCGGCGAAGTTTACAATTATTCTATGTGCCGGAGGTATTTTGACTATTGGTCAAGGGTATCCAAAATTTTATATACGGAGAGCTTTAAAATTTATATATGTACCGAAAAGCTTTCCTATTTATACATGCAGAGCTTTATAACCTTTCTAACTGCAGAAAGGTATTGCATTTTTAGAAGAGCTTTAAAGATCTCTTTATACAGAGCTTTACAGGTTTTTCTATCCATATAAATAGTTAAAGATTGTTCTATCTCTCGAGAGTTTTTAATGTATTCTATTGATGAAAAGTATATAAGGCTTTAATGAACTTTAGATATTAATTTTTAAAATCGAATAAAAATCAAACTCACTTTGAAGCTTCAGAAGTCGTCTACACATACGAGAGCATTTACTATATTCTATGTGTATGATAGAGCATGCCCTTAAGAAGGCTTTAAAGAGCTTTAGAAATTAATTTTTAATATCGAATAAAAATCAAGCTGCTTTTGAAGCTTTAAAAGTCATCTATATATTGGAGAGCTTTAAATATATTTTATCTTTATGAGTGCTTTAAAGGCGAAAAATGTAATGAACATTCGAAGACATTTTGAGTGTTTTCCTATAAATAGTCCTGATCGTCGATGTATAATAAACGACCATTGAAAGTTTGTTTCAACACTTTGAAATTTGTTTAATTTAGAAATAGCTTTTAGCTGATTTTTGTTCACAGAACAAATTTTTTAAAGTTGTTATACCCTTTGGAAGGCTTTTACTGATCATGTAATGGAAATGTGGATATTTATCCACAAAAATGGTTTTATATTTTTCAAAATGGTCTGACCAATTGTCTAAACATATTTTCCCACTCCGATTGAGACGACACTAAACTATGGTTCTTCTGGGTATGAAAATCGCTGATCACAAATTTTATTTCATTGTGAGCGTTAAAAAAAGAACTCATTGGGTGCCTAGTCAAGTCTGTTAGGCGGATGACCCATCATATTCACCTTTTAGAGGGTTCAAAAGGTCGATGTGTAGCTTTGACGTGGTTTTGAGTGGTAAAATTTTAACAAAGAACTACCGTTGGGCTCCATTTTAAGGCAACATGTAAAGGGGATTTCAAGAACAATTTCAATAGCCATTATCTTATTGATAAATTAAAGTAAGCAAACAATTGGTCGCCATTACGGGCAAATGAAGCAAAGCCCTTTAACACTATGCTTATACAAGCTATTTATATCTAGTATCGCTTGTCTTACATGATGATTCGTCTTCGAAGACTTACGCAAACAAATTATGATGTAACCCACAGAATTTAATGCAGTGAACTCTCGATAATGTGAACATCCGAACTCTCGATAATGTGAACTAATTAATGTTGGGGTACTTCATATTTTTGAATTTGTTCACATTTTCGATTCAACCAAATTATTTACCGCTAATTACCTG